TTCCTTCCTTCTTTCCTTCCTCTCATTCTCATCTCCTTCCTTCCTTCCTCTCATTCTCATTTCCTTCCTTCTTCCTTCCTTCTTCCTTCCTCTCATTCTCATCTCTCTCCTTCCCTACTTACTTACTTACTTCCTCTCATTCTCATCTCCTTCCTTCTTCCTTCCTCTCATTCTCATCTCCTTCCTTCCTCATTCTCATTTCCTTCCTTCTTCCTTCCTTCTTTCCTTCCACTCGTTCACATCTCCTTCCTTCCTTCCTTCCTTCCTTCCTTCCTTCCTTCCTTCCTTCCTTCCTTCCTCCCTCATTTCCATAGCTACCGCTTCCTTCTTTTCTTCTGCTTTCTCATTTTCCCCGATGCTTCTCCTGTGTGGATGATTCTCACCATTTGCAAGCCAAGTGAATTCTCCAAAACAAAACCCAACCCTCCCTGTCAGAACTCTCGGGTTTTCCTGGCTGCCCTTTCCCTGAGCTGGTTCCTGGCCAGCTCCTTGGCCTACGGACTTTTCCATGCATGGTGAAAAACAACCCCGCAGCAAACTTATGGAAAAGATGGCCATCGGAGATTGTGGGGCGTGCAGCTAAGAAAGCTCTTCTCCTTTGGGGGGGCTGAATTAAAGTCCTGCACTTTAAAATGCCTTTTTAATTTTAATTTTTTTTTTTTTTTTTTGTTAAGCCAACTTTTATAAATAAGTCTGCTTACAGCTCCCACTGGAATTTAAGAAACGCGGACCGGGTGACTTGCACAAACAATTATTTCGGTTGGGAAACAGATTTTTCTAAGCAGGCTGTGAGGCTCAACGGCTTTAGGGAGAAGCTGCACTTTTTAAAATCGCTCCACACCAAGAGGGTGTTGAATGAATAAAAGGAATAATTGAGCAAGGGAGCCTGTCCTTTCCTTTTTTCCTTTTCTTCTTTCCTTGCCTTTTTCCTTCCTTCTCCATTCCCTCCCTTCTTTTCTTTCCTTCCTTCCCCACCCGCTCTCTCGCTCACTCCCTTCTTTCTCTCACTTTCCTTCCTTCCTTTCTTCCCTATTTTCCTTCTCCATTCTCTCCCTCACTCCCTTCTGTCTTTCTTTCCCTTTTTTCTTCCTTCCCCATTGCTCTCCCTCCCTCTTTTCTCTCTTTTCTTCTTTTCCTTCCTTTCTTCTGTCTCCTTCCTTCCTTCCTTCCTTCCTTCCTTCCTTCCTTCCTTCCTTCCTTCCTTCCTTCCTTCCTTCTTTTCTCCCTCCTTACAAAATACATAAACTCACCTTCAATTCCTGTCGAAGTTTCCATCCTAATGGTTACAGGTTGTCCTTCAGTTACAACTGTCATGGAGACTGTAAGTCATGACGGTCATAAAACAACCCAGTTAAACATGAGCCAACAGTGGGCAGCAGCCGCCAAAAAAGCCAATGCAATCCTAAACTGCATTAACAGAGGGATACAATCAAGATCACAGGATGTACTAATACCACTCTATAAAGCCTTAGTAAGGCCACACCTAGAGTACTGCATCCAGTTTTGGTCACCACATTACAAAAAAGATGTTGAGACTCTGGAAAAAGTGCAGAGAAGAGCAACCAGGAGGATTAGGGGACTGGAGGCTAAAACATACCATGATCGGTTTCAGGAACTGGGCCTGGCTAGTCTAGGGAAGAGAACGACCAGGGGAGACAGGATAGCGGTCTTCCAATATTTGAGGGGCTGCCAAGCTATTTTCCAAGGCACCTGAAGGCCAGAGAAGGAATAACGGATGGAAACTGAACAAGGAGAGATTCAACCTGGAAATAAGGAGGAATTTTCTGACAGGGAGAACAATCAACCAGTGGAACAGAAGTTGCCTTTGGAGGTTGTGGGAGCTTCATCCCTGGAAGCTTTCAAGGAGAGGCTGGACTGCCATTGGTCAGAAATGGAGTAGGGTGTCCTGCTTGGGTGGGGGTTGGAGTAGATGACCTACAAGGTCCCTTCCCACTCTGTTATTCTGTTGCGTTTCTTATCCTGAGCTCTTTCACTCCTCCCAGGCCGTTGGAGCAACCTCTACAAGCTCCCCTACAACTGGATCGGGACCGGCCACGTGGTGTACCAAGGTTCCTTTTACTACAACCGGGCCTTCACCAGGAACCTCATCAAATACGACCTCCGCCAACGCTTCGTGGCTGCCTGGTGCTTCCTGGACGACGTGGTCTATGAGGACACCACGCCCTGGAAGTGGCGCGGCCACTCTGACCTGGACTTGGCCGTGGACGAGAGCGGCCTGTGGGTGATCTACCCAGCGATGGATTCTGGCTACTCTCAGCAAGAAGTCATCGTGGTGAGCAAGTTGGATCCGGCCGACCTCTCCACGCAGAAGCAGTGGAAGACGGGCCTCCGGCGCCACGCTTACGGGAACTGCTTCGTGGTCTGCGGTGTACTTTACGCCGTAGATGAGTGCAACGTCAGGGAAGGCCGTGTGTCCTACGCCTACGACACCCACACCGCCACCGAAGCCCGCCCCGAGCTGCCTTTCCGCAACGAATTTGCCTTCACCACCCAAATCAACTACAACCCCAAGGAGAAAGTCCTCTATGGCTGGGACAATGGCCACCAAGTGATCTACAAGCTACAATTCGTGGCTTGAGGATTGGGACAGTGATGGGATTCAAATAATTTCTTCCAACAACCAGTTTGCCAAACTGCTCAGAAAGTTAACAACCGATTCTGGTGAACTGGTGAGAACCGGATGAATCCCACCACTGGATTGGGAGCCCCAAAATGCCACGGGTGGGTCCCCAGAGGGGGTTGTCTGTGGCCGCAGGATGGCCATGAGCCTGGGAGGGACTTTGATGGAGCGCATTCGATGGAAGAGATGGGGGCCGACGTCTTGCAAGATGGCACAATTCCTCTGGGATATTCAGGGTGCAGGATTTGGGGGTGATGGCAATTAGAAAGCTGTCCGTCGCAGACTCCCTTCTTGTGATGTTTCACGCATAGAGGGCACCCCCTTAAGATAATATGCATTTTTTCTTTTTTTCTTTTGCAATCTAAGAAACTTTTCCGCAATGTTTACACGGTGAGGTTTAAGCTGTTGGCTGAACGGGAAGGTTCGGGCGTTGACGTGAGCTAAGTGTTAAGCCCAAAACATCTGTCGTTAAGGGAGACACTTGTTACTTGAGTTTTGCCCCATTTTACAACATTTCCCGCCTCCGCTCTTAAGCGAATCCCTGCAGTCGATAAAGTCAGTCACCCAGTTGTTAAGTGAATCTGGCTTCCCCGTCCCCCCCGGGGTTGGCTGTGGCCATTGTAAGTACGAACCCGTTGCTGGGCGTCTCTGAATTTGGATCACGTGACCCTGGGGAAGGCCGCCATGGTCGTTAAGTGTGAAAGTCATCCTTTTTTTCAGCGCCGTTGTAACTTCAAACCATCACTAAATGAACTGTGTTGTAAGTCCAGGACTACCGATTATTAATTCTGACCATAAGGATTTGGGGAGGGGGGGGAATTCAGACCTCTTTGGGGTGAGAGGGGCACAAAAATAGCTGCTTACTCCAATTTAGAGGTGTGTGTGTGTGTGTGTGTGTGTGTGTGTCCTAGGGAGCAAATGCCCCAAATATTTTGTCTTTCTTGCCATTTGCTGAGCGCAGCCTTCACACTGCTTGGGACGCCAGTGTGAAAATCCTCACTGTTTTGTGTACACACACACATGCCAGCTGCCCCTTCACACACACACACACACTGTGATGACCCAGGGCGTGGCACAAAAGCAACCAGGTCACAAAAGTAGGTAAAGTCCCTTTAATTCCTCCAACTTGGCCCCCAATGTCCAGTTAACATCGGCTGGAGAAAAAAAAACTCTCTCAAGAACAGTTTTTAAAGGGAAGAAATTCAGTCCGAACCCAAAGTACATATAGATTATAAATAAAAACCAACACAAACCACAAGCTGCAGCAATTAACGAGACAGGGCAGGATAAGGAATTGCAGAACTCAAAAGATAACGAAACACACACAGTTGGGAGGATGCCAGAACCCAGATAGGACTTGACAAACAAAGATTATGCACGCTTTGCTTCCAGTAAGATGCTGTGCGCAAACACCCCTTTTATCCTGTTTTCCCAGCTGCCGCTAATGAAGGGAATCAGGGCCCTTTTCTCCCCCATAATCCATGTTGCTCCCTTATCCGTTCCTGAGTGCCCAAGGATGAAGAGGGGATGGGCCTGGGCTGAATGTCCAGCCGGACTGTGCCCTTCCCAGTTTCCTCCACAGCCACCAGAGCCACACTCCCACTCCCTGTCAGCTGCTCAACCTCCCTCTCAGAATCAGATTCCAACAGGGGAATGACACCCTCCTTGCAAAAGTTCTCACAACTTTTGTGTTGGTTCCCTGGAACATGGATGCTGAAAGTACACAAGATATTTTTCTCACCCCATGGGTGATCTATGGCCAGGTCACGGCAATACGGGTAAATCCTTGACTTAGAACCGTTCGTTTAGCGGCCAAAGTTGCGATGGCGCTGTTAAAAAAAAGGGACTTACAACTGTTTTTCACACTTAACGACCGTTGCGGTATCCCCCCAAGGTCGTGATCAAAATTGAGAGGCTTGGCAATTGGTTCGTATTTATGACGGTCACGGCATCCTGGGGGAGGTCATGTGATCGATCCCCCTTTTGTGACCTTCAGACAAGCAAAATCGATGGGAAAGCCAGATTCACTTAACGACCGGGTGGCTAACTTATCAACTGCAGTGATTCACTTAACATCTGTGGCAAGGAAGTGATTCACTTAACCACCATGGCCAGGGGAATCCAGATTCACTTAACAACCGGATGTCAGGATTCCGGCAGTTACTCCAATTAAATCATGAGCCTCGAGCCACGCTCCCAAAACTAAACAGGATTTATTAGAAGTTACCATGCCGGCATTAACCTGGGTGTAGCTGACTCTGAGATACGTAGTTCACTGTCACCCTTGATCCTGCTTTTCCCCCCCCACCCCCGTGGGTGTATCATCCAACGAAAAAAACCTCCATAGCCAAGAGTCATCAATCATGCTCTCCAATTAGATTTTGCGCCAGCAAAAGCTTCAGTCATCTAATCAGTCTTTGAAGAAAATATGAATGGAATGTACTTTCGATTCCACACTGCCGCCTGCTCTTTGAAACTCCCCTCCCTTCTTTCTGTTGTCAACTATGAAACGTGTATACAAAATGTTTTATGAGTTGACCACCGGGTTACTAACCTATCAACTGCAGTGATTCATTTAACAACCATGGCAAGGAAGCGATTGACTTAGCACAACCATGACCAGGGGAAGCCAGTTTCATTGAATAACCAGGTGACTCACTTACCAACTGTTTAACAACCGTGGGAAGAACGGTCGTAAATCGGGGCAAAACTCGCTCAAGAAACTTCTCCACTACAGAAAGTTGAGGCCCAGTGGTGGTCGTTAAGTCGAGGACTATCTCCTTGGGTGGGGGGGAGGGTGTCTGCCTAATTTGGCCCCTTTAAGAGTCGTGGAGCTCAACTCCCAGCTGGCTGGGGGATTCTGGGAGTTGTGGTCCCCAAGTTTCCACCTTTGCAGAGCCGGAGGGGCTCACACACACACACACACACACACAAATACACACAGAGTCTAAAAAAGTCGGTTTGTTTTGCTCACAACCTACGCAATCTTTCTTGTTTCTTTTTGTCGCTTTGCTTGGAAGAGAAGTGACCAAATTTTCCCTCCCCAGGGCGAAGAATAAAAGCTGCCCACTGGCACAGAGACGGTGCCCGACCCCCTATAAAAGGATTTTTTGGGGAGGGGGACTGAGGGGAAAAAAAGAGGAACAAGGAAACCATTGACTGGCCATTAACCAGCTAGAGAGAAATCTGGGCAGATCCTGGTTAGAAGCTGGTGGGATTGACATTGTTATGGATATTTTTTTCTCATGCAAAGAGAGCATTTTTCTCCCCCCCCTTCATGCTTTGGGGTGCCAGCTTTTTTTGGGGGGTGGGGTGGCTCCATCCAAAGGGCCAGCTGGAAGCTATGGGGGGGGGGAAGAGACGGCTGCATTTTAATTCTCTCTTCCTCCTCTTTCGCTACCTTTTGACTTCCCGTCCTGGCCCAATGAGGACTAGAAACCTGTTCTGACCCAAACCTGGTCCCAAGAGAGTCAACACAAGGCAAAGGTAACAGCACAACCCTTTTACTGTTTCGTTCACGAATCCGGTTCCTTCGGAGATAAGAGGCTGCTTCCACCTAATTAGCTCCGATAAGGAAGAGCCTGGCCAAGTTTTTGCAAGGCTGCCAAAAAGAACAGATAAGGGTCTCCTGCTTGGGCGGGGGGTTGGACTAGATGACCCACAAGGTCCCTTCCAACTCTTCTATTATTCTGTTAAAACAGCATTAACCGGTGGGATTCTGTGACTTTTTTTTTTTTGAATTTTGTTTGGTGAATTTCATTAAATTAGAAAAATAATAAAAAAAATAAAACGCCCAACAGCCCTGGCTGCTGAATTTTTATGTTTTTAGGGTCGACCCAGGACAAGTTGACTGTCTTGTTTTAGCTTTCTTTTCTCTTCACAATCGGGAAGCATCATTTCCCTCCCGCCCCCCCTCGGAAAAGGTGGGTATTCAGGAGATTTTGGGTGACGATGGGAGGGGGCCAAGGAGAAAGTTGGAGGAAAACAAAAAAATAAAATAAAATGCTGACTTCTTTGGCCTTGCTGCAGAAGGACACACTTTGCATTCGCTGGAACTGCAAGTCCCATGAGGCTCAGCGAGCACCCTCTGGGGATGATGGGGCCCAGAGTTCCACCGTGATGAATCGAGGGGAGGGAGGAAGACAAACCAGTGAGGGGGGCGGTGTATTTTGGAAACGCCAAGAAGGGGGGTACATTATTTTAAGGCAGGGGTCCCCAAACTTGGCAACTTTTAAGACTTGTGGACTTCAACTCCCAGCTGGGAGTTGGCTGGAGAATTCTGGGAGTTGAAGTCTAGAAATCTTAAAAGTTGCCAAGTTTGGGGACCCCTCATTTAAGGTGCCACACGGCCTTCGCTCATCACGAGGACTAGAAGCTTAGAAAACACCCACAGAGCAAATTTCGACGCCAGCGTGAAGTGCCGCTTGTTTCTTTCCATCCCACGGGGCCTGCCTCTTTCCGAAACTCTGGGAGGGGCCCCAGATTCTTCCCCCACCCCATTCCCAGCCGTGCAAGGGCAATGCCCCCACCCGCCACCAAGGACCTGGGAAGAAAGAGTCACAGTGTTTGGCTCCAGATGAAGTCATTCCTTCTCTGGAGACAAACTCGCTTTTGACCCCTGCTATTGCTCACAACAGGGGGGGGGGCACACACACACACACACACACACACACACACACACACACACAGAAGCAGGCAACCTTTGGCCTGAGGGCCCCCACATCTCACAGTGGCCCTTTGTTCTCTCTGGCCCAGATGGTGCCAGGGGTGGGAGAAGGATCTTGGAAGAAGCTCCTTCCAGTGAGGCGCAACTGTCCTTTCGAAGGGTATCCTCACCCCCCCCCGCCCGACGGGAATAGGTCAAGTTGCCCAAAGTGCTGCAGCCAACACACCACGGCCACCTTACCTTGGGACAATTGAACCATTCTGTTTCATTATTGAAAATAAAATAAAAATTGCTTTCATGGTCATCCTTCACGTTTTGTTCTGTCCCTCTTTTGGCTTCCTTTCTTGAATGATTCTATCCTACCATTTTCGTTGATATTAGTGTAATTCTTGACCCGCAGCCAGTTGGCCGTTGTGAGGTGACGCTGTGGCAAGTTGGCCATCATGAGTTGGCCATAGTGAGTTGGCCATAGTGAGTTGGCCATGATGAGTTGGCCATGGCAAGTTGGCAACTTTAAGACT